TATATATATATTGCCGAAATTAGAAGTATTTTTTTCTTGATTTTGCCTGTCTAAGTAATTTAAACACATATAGAGAAATATAGCTGTATGTTACAATGTTTAGAAAAAAAGCCATAGTAAAACAAGCCAGTAAAATGGCCACAATTATTGGCTGTAAACTGCTTATGCTGCAATAAATATCAAATGTGTTTCATTAATGTTTGACAATATCCCATATTTTTATTGATTTTACTAAAAAGGTACTTGTTAATTATTATTAGTAAATTGTTGAACTCATATAGCACTTTAAGAAGTCATCAAGGCTACAATGTAGTCAACAGCAGGCAAGAGTGATGAAGTGTCTTGCCCAAGGACACAATACCATGCCATACCAACTTTATTTGTAAAGCACTTTAAACACCGACAGGACCAAAGTGCTGCACACAGTCATAAAATACAATACAATCATAAAATAGAAAAATAAAAAATAGTAATCAAATAAAACAGATAAAAACACAATGAACAAAGTCACACATCAAACATCACCTATTTTGACAATAGCCTAGGAATAAGGTGGGTCTTAAGAAGTGATTTAAAAACAACAAGTGAAAAGGCCTGTCTTATATCCATTCATCAGCAATAAATAAATCTGTATGTCGTCAGCATAGCAATGAAAAGCAATCCCATGTTTCCTAAGAAGAGAGTCAAGTGGAAGGAGATGCAATAGAAAAAGAACAGGGCCCAGAACCGAGCCCTGTGGAACACCACACAACAGTGGAGCAGTGGAGGGCACAATGACTGAGACGGATGGAACCGGCAACACACCGGTCACGGGATGACTCCCACAAACCCCTCTGCCACAGCCGCCCCATAATTATTTTATTGTACTAACAAAGCACAGAAACCATAAAGTAATAAAGTTATCATAAAGCAAAACCTATAAAACTTTGAGATGATTCTCTCACAAAAAAGCCAAAATGACTTAAAAACCGTTTCTCATAAACTGCATTCATAAAGTGAAATGTTCCAAATTAAAAAAAAAAGTTAAATAAATTTGAAACACATAAATGACATTTGATTAACTAAAGTAATAAATTGATATTTCTCTGTCTTGACTGCACCAGGTATGACTTTGTGGAAATAGAAGATCCGATTCAGAAGACGGTCCTGGGTCGCTGGTGTGGGTCACAGTCGACACCAGTAAATCACAAATCTGAAGGCAGTCAGATCATCATTCGCTTCGTTTCGGACGAGTATTTCCCCTCGGAACCTGGATTTTGCATCCACTACTCCCTTCTGCCTGTGGTATGTAACAACTAGAAGCATGAAGTGTGCAGTTTGTCTTCTCAGTGTCAGTTTTTAACACTTAAATGTAGGGATGCACTGATCAGGGGCGGAGCCAGGGGGTGGCCAGGGGTGGCCATGGCCACACTTTTGCTCAGTTGTAGAGCGTTTTGTCATGACTAATCATGCAAAGCTGTGGTCCCCACCACAAATTAGGTTGACTCCAAAAGTTAATCAGATGTAGATCCATCTACTGATTACTTTCTGAGAGTTTCATTGCAATCAATCCAGTGGTTTATGAGATATTTTGCTACCACTATATAAACACACACAAGCATTGTACTTCACGCAAACAGACACGGGGGGAAATATAATTTCCCTTTTGCCATTGCCAGTGAGCAATAAAGACTTCCAAACTTTAAAAACAACTCAATGATTATGACTACCACTGTTTGATCTGCATGTGCATCTTATTTTGGGATGCAAACTTACTTTGAATAACCCTTCAAAATTTCCGTTTTAAAATGTGGAACACCTTCAGTTTACAGGACACCCCTCGGTTACATGAAATACACTCTTTTTTTGGCGAATGTTTTGTTTAAAATAAGTCTTTCTTGTTTTTTTCTTTTACTGACTGATAAAAATTCAGAGCACGCAGCAGAGCAAAAGATGTTCATTTTAGATGCTTTTATCTTCTGCAGAAGAAAGTATGTTTTTATTCTTCAATCTTGAACAATCAAGCTTACATTTTCTATGTTGACCTCTGAAGCTTAGCTGTGGCTCTACATCCTGCCAGATTACTCTGACACCTGAGGTGTTGCAATGCCACTGATTGTTGCTTGAGGCTGAAGCAAAGAAAATCTGTAAATCTACATTCTCAAAGTGAACTTTGAMCTCGGCGGGGAAGATTTCTTTTCAGGACCCTGAAATGAAAGCACTCATGGCTACCTGTGGTATTTTACTCCACTTACAGCTAAAATATAGTAGAAGCCTTTTGAACAAGGGGCTATAGACAATAATCCTTCACAAAAAAAAAAAAAAAAAACTAGAACACTTACAAATTCCAGTGAAGTGTAAGTTGCTGCATTTTATTAATAAATAAAAATAATAAAAATCAGTTTTAAAAGTCTATTGTGCTTTATTTTAATGTTAATACAGAAGTCAAAACTTTATGTATTGAAACACATTGACAATCTGGTGGGTTATCACTCTTACTTTTATACTTTTGCAATTAACACTTATGTACATATTTTTTAGCCAATATGAATATTCAGATATTCTCTCTCTGTGCACAGATTACTTATGTTCATTTTCTGCAACAGAACAAATCAGTGTTTATCTCTTTCTGATCTTCATCTTAAGATTTGGTTCTACCAATTATCTATTGTCAACATTTTAATGTAGAAAAAAAGACTTGATTGCCCTGTTGGCCTCCTCCCTTGTTCACCTTATTTGTACATCTTTCTTGCTATTTTCCTTCTGATATGTAGGCCACACACAGATACCTGCTTTTTTTACAGCAACAAAAGCACAGAGATAAACTAAAGAGAAAACGGCTGTGTTTTAACTTGCCATGTCTCGGTTTTGTTAACTTGCTTTAAATAAACAATTCTTCTCATTAATCCCCAGTGAAAATTACCATCTGTTGTTACTGATTCCATTTAGAATTCATTCTATTCACTCTGTAATATTTTGTATTTTAAAGGGTTTTTTTCGTGTGTTTTTCAGGCTTGTCAACAATGTGATCCTCTACAACTTTAAAACCAAAAAATGTGTGTGTACAAATTGGTAAAGAGTTTGGGCAATAACAGAGGCCATGATTTGTGTCAAGGCTGATATATACATTACGATGGAGTATTAGGGCCACACAACAAGATATTTTTAAATCACGAGAATAAAATCATACTATTACGATATTAAAGTCACATAAAAAAGCCATAATATTATGAGAATAAAGTCGTAATATTACGAGTTTAAAGTTGTAATATTACGAGATATTACTGAGAGGAGACCGCTGCAAATGAATCCTGCATGCGCAAAGTTGCCACTGCTCTTGCCTTGTTTCTAAAGTGGGATATAATATTTAATGTGATGTTTGTTCTCTGGTACTGTCTCTGTAAAATAAATGTCTGGACCCAGCTGTGTTTGACTCACAGATCAGTCACTGCTTCACCTCATCCTCCCTGTGCCTCGTGATATCTCACAGTCTGCAGGTTAAATTTAAGATTATCACCAATTTATTTAATTTATGTAATGTGGATCTAAGCATTAAAATCATAAAAATATTTTTATTTCATTAAGTTTATTTGCAGTTTTAAACATATTTAGTGTTTTCCTTCACTTTTTTTCTCTTTAACATCTCTACTATAGCTCAGATCACAATTATTGGCAAACATATTAGGTGATGATGTAATCTAGCAACTTGAGTTTGATTTTCCTAGAAAATGAGTTGGTTATATTCATGTTTTTTGCACTTTATTTTTACATGATGTTACTGGCTGGAAAGCTGTGAACTTTATTCTTTTTATATTTATGAATTTTTTTCTATTTATTTATAGACTGTCCTGTGAAGTTCACACAGTGTTTAAGAAGTTCACTTAACAAACATGAAAAATTAGAAATGGTGAAAAGGTAAAGATGCAGATTTGTTTGCTTTATTGTTATCTGTGCTTTAAATAAATCTTGTGTTGTTTATTATAAAACAGACTGATTTATTGCTTCTGTTTGTTGGAAAATATTTGAAGACATTAAAAAATAATAATCACACATTAAATCGCAATTGCAATTTATAGATAAAAAAATCGCAATTAAATAATTTTCCAAAATCGTTCAGCCCTAGTCTGGATTAAAGTAAATTGCAGCCCACAAATACTGGTTTAAATTGCATTGTCCACACTGCAGCTATATATACACTCAGTTTATTCTGTTTACAAATATGAAATGTTAATTTAATCCCCAATATTAAAAGTGTGGTGGGTGCAGAAACCATCAGGAGCAAAGCTCAGGGCTTTGCACGTTAACTTTGTTTTCCCTTTGAACCTCCCTCTCTTACAGAGAAGGAACTCTGAACAGCAGATCTCTGTTTCCTCTGTGGTCAACCAGCAGCTACTGGGAACCTCATGCCATGCGGGGGCCAGCACTTCGGTTTATATTTAAACAAGCAGTGATTCCTTATTTACCACTTCCATGGAATGAAAGAGGAGGAAAAATAAAAGACGCTCTGTAATTCACAGGAAGAGATTTTAGTGGGGGGAGAGAAGTGAAACGGCCGAGGCGAAGAGGTTGTTAAAACACAGAGGAGAAGGAGCCTGTTGAACGGAGCATGACGGGTGTTGAGTGGTGGGCGTTGTGGCTTAAAGGAGCAAACAAAACATACATCATTGTCTTTGTGTGATCCTTTGGCCTCTGCGAGCTTGTTTATTTTAACGGATTGAAGTGATTTTTACACAGTAGAGATGGAACTCGTGCACATTTGCCTACACAACATTACAAACACAAAAATGTACTTGACGGTGACAAAAAAGAGCCTTGGGGAGTATAATTAAAGCGAATGCAAAAATTGTTGGAATCATTAAAATCCGATCTGCTTTTAGCGTCCTCAATTACAGTTAATTATGTAGAATGAGTGGRAAAAAAACCATGCAAACCAAACCTTGATGCTTACTCACAGTCCCCTTGTGCAAGGAAGTGGTTTGAAACTGCATGCAAAAGAGTCAGATATATTGTTTTCAGAGCTCTCCCAGGATGCTATTTCAGATTTGTCATCTCAACAGAGTTAGCTAAACCTGTCATTTTAGTTACCAGGAATACGATTCTGTGGTTGTGTGAGACAAGAACAAAAATCTTTCTGTCAAAAACAGCATGAAAACAAGTTCTTGAGGGCCAGGGGCTTTCAGACAGTTGTGACACTGCATTGTTGGGCAATGTTTTTTTTTTCTTTATGATAAAACACATTCAAACTTTTACAAACCAGAACCTGATCTCAAATCTCACATAGGTATGGCAAAGAATGACAATTTGACTCTATATATTTTTTATAAATGTCATTTTCCAATTGCCTTAAATCGGGTCTGCAACCTTTACGATCAAAAGAGACGTTTGTGTTCCTTGTCTCCATATTAAAATATGTCCAGAACCACAAAACAAGCTACAACTGTGATATCAAC